GCAGGCAGGGTGCTGGCAAGCCAGCAGCTTTTCAGACTTTCATTTGGTAAACTTTCCTTTTAGTTTCTCTTTAAGGCCTCCTAAAAACACAGGTGAAAGTTTGTACTTGACGCGAGGGAAAAAAACAGGTTATGCAAATAAAAGTTTTGCCAAAAACACCATATATTTGGTATATTTTCAATAGACACTGAAAGTCTAAAACTTCAAAATGTTTTACATTTAAATTTAATAATTTAAAACAGTAAGCTTAAAGATTATTTTTCAGATTGTTAAAATGTGTTTTTTAAACCTTTCCAATATAAGAAGATAAAAGAAATTAAAACTGCCATAACCTTATCACATCAACAGAGATCATTTCTGCTACTGCCATTTTAAATTTATAATCGAAAAAGCAAAAGAGAGGAAGGGAGGGAGAAAAACAAAAAAAGGAACATGAGCTTTCAGATTCTCTTCCAAGGGCCTCCCCGGTGGCGCAGCGGTTGAGCGCTGGGTTGCGAAGCTGCCCGCGGCCTCTGTGGCGCCGATTCGATCCCCAGCTGCTCCCCGGCCACCGGAGGAGGGTCCCGCATGGTGCGCAGACCTCTCCTGCCGCCCGCTGCTCCCCTCAGCAGTGTACTTCGGTCCTTCTGCCTGCTCTGCTCCCCGCTCTGCCTCTGGTGAATTCTCTCACCCTCCCGTGCTTCTGACTGTACCCAGTGCATGTATAAACCAAACAAACAAATAATAAATAAATAAATAAGACATGCCTCTAGAAAATTAAAAAAAAAAAAAAAAAAAAAAAAAAAAAAGATTCTCTTCCAAGCATGTAAAAAATAAGCAAATAAGAGGACTCTGAAAGTAATCCCCACAGAGGACAAATATTTAAAAATTTATATATATACACAATATATGATTGTGTAATAAATGATCTGATTATATGTAAATAACATAATTATTAGATATGCAATATATATAGATACAAGATAAATATATTTTATAAAATATATACTCTATGTAAATATATTGTTTATTTATTTTTTATTTAATATATTTTATTTTATATAATTCTTACATCATTTTTCATTTTGCACAATGCATGCATTTTCATTTTGGTTATATTCCTCATACAATTCCACCCCCCTTATTTTGACCCTAATCCCTCCTCTCCTACCCCCCCACACCCCCCACCTCTGGTAGTGTGTCTCTGGTTTATAGTTGCTGTTGATTTTGATATTTTCTTTATTATAATTAGTCTTTTTCCTGGTCCCTTATTTAGGTTTTCTAAATTCCTATTTTTCTTGTTCTTTCTGGCTTATTTCGCTAAGCATGATCCCTTCTAGCTCCATCCATGTTGCTACAAATTGCATGAGTTTATTTTTTTGATGGCTGAGTAATATTCCATTGTGTATATGCACCACATCTTCTTGATCCAGTCATCTATTTTTGGGCATTTGGGTTGTTTCCAAAGCTTAGCTATTGTAAATAGTGCTGCTATAAACAGAGGGGTGCAGGTGCCATTTGGAATTAATGATTCTGTATCCTTTGAGTAACTACTTAGGAGTGGAATTGCTGGATCATATGGAAGCTCTATCTTTAGTAGGTTGAGGAAGCTCCACACAGTTTTCCATAGTGGTTGGGACCAGTTTGCACTCCCACCAGCAATGCAGGAGAGTTCCTTTTTCTCCACATCCTTGCCAACATTCGTTGTTGCTAGTTTTTTAAATATGTGCCATTCTCACTGGTGTGAGATGGTATTTCATTGTAGTTTTGATTTGCATTTCCCTGATTGCAAGTGATGTTGAACATTTTTTCATATGCCTGTTGGCCATTTGCATTTCCTCTTCAGAGAAGTTTCTTTTTAGCTCTTCTGCCCATTTGTTGACTGGATTATTTTCTTTGGTTTTTTGTTTTTTTTTTTTTTGAGTCTCATCAGCTCTTTGTAGATTTTTGTGATCAGTCCTTTATCATTAGTGTTGTGTGCAAAAATATTCTCCCAGTCGGTAGGGTTTCTTTTTGTTTTGGTTGTTGTCTCTTTTGCTGTACAGAAGCTCTTTAATTTGATGTAGTCCCAGCTATTTATCTTTGCCTTCACTATCACTGCTTTGGGTGATGTATCTGTAAAGATGTTTTTGAGGTGCATGTCATGTAGTATTTTACCTATATTTCCTTCTATATATTTTATGGTTTCCTTCTATATAATTTTTGGTTTTGTGCATGGTGTGAGGTAGTAGTCAAGCTTCATTCTTTTGCATGTAGCAACCCAGTTTTCTCAGCACCATTTATTGAACAAACTTTCTTTGCACCATTGCATATTCTTTGCTCCTTTGTCAAAAATAGTTGACTGTAAATCTGTGGGTTTATTTCTGGTTCCATTGGTTCCATTGGTCCGTGTGTCTGTTCTTGTTCCAAAACCATGCAGTTTTGATTATTATGGCTTTGTAGTATAGTTTGAAATCTGGGCGTGTGATGCCTCCATTCCCTTCTCTTTTTTTTTCAGGAGAGATTTGGCTCTTTGGAATTTTTGGTGATTCATATGAATTTCATCAATATTTGTTCTATTTCTTTGAAGAATGTCATTGAAATTTTTATTGGAATAGCAGTGAATCTGTAAATTGCTTTTGCTAGGATGGCCATTTTGATAATGTTAATTCTTCCAATCCATCAGTAGAGGATGTCTTTCCATTTCTTTGTGTCTTCTTCTATTTCTTTTTTTTTTTTATAGAGACATGTTTTATTTATTTATTTGTTTGTTTGTTTGTTTTGTTTATACAAGCACTGGGTACAGTCAGAAGCACGGGAGGGTGAGAGAATTCACCAGAGCCAGAGTGGGGAGCAGAGCAGGCAGAAGGACAGAAATACACTGCTGAGGGGAGCAGCGGGCGGCAGGAGAGTTCTGCGCGCCATGTGGGACCCTCCTCCGGTGGCTGGGGAGCAGCCAGGGATAGAACCAGCACAGCAGAGGCCACGGGCAGCTTCACAACCCAGCGCTCAACTGCTGCGCCACCGGGGAGGCCCTTCTTCTATTTCTTTTAACAGTGTTTTATGGTTTCTTTGTATAGGTCCTTTACCTCTTTTGTTAGATTTATTCCCAAGTATTTGATTTTTTTTTTTTGTTTCAATAATAAAAGGGATGGTTTTTTTGATTTCTTCTTCTTCAGATTTATTGTTTGTGTTTAGGAAGGCTACTGATTTTTGTGTGTTGATTTTGTATCCTGCCACTTTACTAAACTGATTGATTAGTTTAATTAGTTTTTCTGTGGAGTTTTTGGGGTTCTCTATGTATATTATCATATCATCTGCCATTAGTGATAGTTTGACTTCTTCCTTGCCTATTTGGATTCCTTGTATGTCTTTCTCTTGTCTTACTGCTCTGACTAGCACTTTCAGTATTATATTGAAAAGCAGTGATGAGGGTGGACATCCTTGTCTTGTTCCAGATCTTAATGGAAATGCTTTCAGCTTTTCACCATTGAGAATGATATTGGTTGTGGGCTTGTCATATATGCCCTTTGTGATGTTGAGGTATGTTCCTTGTATCCCGATAATTCCAAGGGCCTTTATCATAAATGGGTATTGTACTTTGTCAAAGGCTTTCTAGCATCTATTAATAGTATAATATATATCATTTTTATATGAAATGCTTTATAAAATTGTGTGTCATTCCTGCAGAGGAATCATGCTAATCTCTGGATTGTTCTAATTTTATACATATGCTGCTGAAGTGAGCACATAAAATACTTTACAAAAGTACTATACATTACAAAGAATCATGTAAAATAGAGAAAGGGCAGAGATTACATACAACTCCACCACTTAAAAAAGCCCTATTAATGCTTTAGTATACTTCTTATCAGTGTTTTCTCACATTCTCCTGTCTCTCACACACACACATTATCCTCAGGGTGCTAAGACTTTTATAATATGTTGGATATGGAGAAACAGCTTTGACCTCAGTTAACTTAGCTTTGAATCCTGGCTCTAATTACTAAACAACTTTGTCTCAATTTTCACGTGTACAATAAGGATAATACCCTCTCTACCCATCGTATTTTGTGAACATGAAAGGAGATAATGTATGTAAATTGAGTGAAATAGTTACCAGCTCAGAGTAAGTGTTCAATATATAGAAACTATTTTTTCACCTAAAATTATATCATAACAACTATTGCATATTTCCATGTAATCTTTGTGTCATTTTTATGACTAGATAGTTGTCTGTAATGCAAACACACATATCTATGACTAACTCATGTCCATTTTGACAAGTTATTTTCAGTTTGGGGATATATATATATATTTATATATATAAATATATATATAGTGCCATAATTGATGTATTTTAAATATACTACATGTCTCACTTCAGTCTATGGGTTTTCTTTAAGAAGTTATTGGAATGTTATTTTCAGGAAAATGCGTGAATCTTTGTTGCATATTTTTTGTTAACTTATTTTTAAATTTAAGATTGAGTATAGAGTTTTGTATGTTTCTTTTTTCATCTACTGTTATGACAGTTTTCTTTTTAATCATTAAATATTTATATTTGCAGTGAACACTCCATGTCTATAACTTTTTCCATATTTTTGGATTATTTCCTTAGGTGATAGCAGACTTTCAGATACAGTATTACTGAACAAATGGTATGACAAAATTGTATGGTATGCGACCTATAGCAAATCACCTTTCAAAAATTTGCACTGATTTATATCTAACAATTTGAGTCTGCCATTTTAAGAACATTCTGGAGCATTATGTTATAATGTAAAATGCTTTTACCAATGTAATGATTTAAAAGGCCTGTTTAAATTTTGTTTTGATTGAAATTATAAATAACTTGTAAGCTGAATGTTTGATCTTTGAATTTTAAAATAAAGGGAACAGAGATCCTGGGCAGTTTCCTGATTTGACAGCAAACTGATTATATTTTTCTTCAAACTGACCAACCCCAAATTCTGGGCATTAGTTGCTTCCCCTGTACTTCTTGCAGCTATTCTGTTTTAACATGGAATTCTTTTTTACAGAACAAGCAGAATGAAAACAAGCTACTCTCTTTGAGTTTACTTCTCTTAAGAGGAGCCTGCTATCGCGAATACGTTGTTATAGAGAATGTAAGTCATAGGCATCTAGCTATATGATGACCACCATTTGTATTTTATAGGAAAATAATTTCTTGTTGGCATCACCAAGTCTTATCTTAAAAGTCCAAGAAATTTATTTTGTCTGTACCCTCAGACTGAAAAACTGGATTGTGTGAGCCAAATTCCTAACTTTTCTATAATAAGAAATACCATTAACATGCTATTCTGAGGCAAATCAGAAATTATTTTGGGGGCCTCCCTGGTGGCGCAGTGGATTGAGCACAGCGCTGTGAAGCTGTCTCCAGCCTCTGCAGTGCAGGATCCATTCCCGACCCACCAGGGAGATTCCCACATGGCGTGGCAGACCTCTCCTGCCTTGCCCGCTATTCCCCTCAGCAGTGCTTTTGGTCTGTCTGCCTATTCTGCTCCCCACTCTGTCTCTGGTGAATCCTCTCACCCTTCCGCGCCTCTGGTCTGTATAAATAAATAAATATTGTATGAATACATAAATAAATAAATAAATAAATTGCTTTGAACATTCTATTCTCATAAAAATGTCTATATGAGAAGTCAAATTATAATCAGGTTGCTCAGCAGCCATGGAAAAGGATGGGGCAGGAATGGTGATAACTAGAATAACTTTAATGACTGATGTCATCAAACTATGTGATCTAACACAGTCATTGCCCCTGGAATGACATGTGGTAGGAGTACATGGGCCAGTGAGACAGGTCCCTCTCCATTGGACATACTTGGGTTTCACTAACACATTTTTCCATGTTGGCCTCTTATCTAAAGACTCCATGCACAGTGCCTTCAATTCAATTCTACAGTATTGGTTAAGCATCTTTTATATGTGCCAACCCCTATACTGTGTTCTAGGACTACCTAAAATGAATAAAAACTCAGCTCCTGATCCAAAGCACCTCACAGGTTTTTGGAGAAAATCAAACACATATAATTACAAAATACCATATCATGAGGTCTTGACTGCATTACAGGCCCAGATCTCTGACTTCTTGTCAATATGACTAGAATCAAGAACTAGTTCTGCTGTGTGATGTGAGCAATTTGTCTAATTTCTTTGGGCCTTATTTTGCTTACATGTAAAATACAGACAATAATAGTCCCTACTTCATTGAGTTGTGAAGTTTAAATGAAAACAATGACACATGAAAACAATTACAACAATGTCTGGCACATAAAGGCCAGGCCAGTCTACCTCCCCATTAATATTGTAAGATGTTTCTTTTATGCCACACCCTCAGTAGCATTTGTTTCTGGTCTTTTTGATATGACCATTCTCATGGGTATAAGTTGGTATCTCATGGTTTTGATTTGCATTTCCTGAATGATAAATGATAGGCATTTTCATGTGCCTCTTGGCCATCTGTTATATTCTGTTCTTTTTTTTTATAGATTGTTTTTTAATATTTATTTATTTATTTATAGAAGCACTGGGTACAGTCAGAAGCACGGGAGGGTGAGAGAATTCACCAGAGCCAGAGCAGGGAGCAGAGCAGGCAGAAGGACAGAAGTACACTGCTGAGGGGAGAAGCGGGCAGCAGGAGAGGTCTGCGCGCCATGTGGGACCCTCTTCCGGTGGTGGCCGGGGAGCAGCCGGGGATCCACCCGGCGCTAAAGAAGCTTCTGGCAGCTTAGCAACCCAGCGCTCAACCACTGCGCCACTGGGGAGGCCCTGTTATATTCTGTTCTTAATTCAAGTCAGTTTGCATTAGGCTTTGTTTCATTTTCAACCAAATGAATTCTGAAACAACCTCTGCGAAATGTGTGTACAAATAAATTAATTTTGTCCTATACTCATAGCCAAAGCAGTTACCCAATTGCTATTTCTTGGTCAGCTAATCAACAAATAAATATATACTGGACCCTTGTTACATGGTCAGATACTACAGAGTTTAGGAAAGCTCCTTGTACTACTATCTAATTGGAATTCATAATCTTTGTATTTTCTTCTCCCCAGGAATAACTTCTCCATTTATCCAGAAAAGTTTTGATTCAGGTGTGGGTTTTATTTACCTCCTGTTTTCAGCTACAAGCCTGCTTTCCATTGCTCTGCTCTAGTGTGCTAGGATGACTGGAATTTGGCAAGCCTCATTGGCCAGTCTTCCTTGTAAGCTGGCTTCCTATTTAGTTTGGTAAACGGGAAACTTTAGGGTACTGAAAGATGGGAGGGGTAGAATTCCTTCCTATTTCCAGTTCCTGAATATGTCACTCTTGCAGCAACAGTTTGCAAAAAGATAGTTATTCTGTGTGCTTCTAATATTTTATTTTCTTTGATATCCCCCCTTTTTTTCTGTTTTCTAATATTGTTATAAATAATTCCCAGTTTAACTCCACTCTATTTTCCTGACTAGATCCTAGCTGATACAGTGGTTCTAGGAAACTATTTTAAAAACAGGATTCTAGAAATAATTTGTCTGAAACTCAAAGCCAAACTCTTTGCCAAGCACTCTGGGACACTGGTAATCTACAGCATACAATAGCATTCATAAAATTATTTTTTAGTCTTCCTAGATTTGAGTGCCAATGGAAGGTAGACTTTTGGAGATGAAGTAAATATCGCATTTGATCATTTTGGTAGAAAAGATGGCTATAAAGAATACGAATGGGGGACAGTTGCACTAGATTGCTTGCAGAAGAAAATTATAAGTTCAGAGCTTTTAGCTGAAATAATATTCAGAGCATAGAAGGGCTAAAAGTATCTCTTATTCTTTCTAGTTATAGGACAGACATGGTTAAAACATCAGACACGAATCAAGCATTCACACATTACCAGCTCTCATCTATAAGCATTTAGGTTGTAATTTGGAAGTAGAACTCTGACACTTGGAATGGAAACATATGGGTGGACTTGAATGAAACAGAGAATCTTGAACCCCAAAGTAACCATGATCTTCCCTTGTTAGTAAATCTTTCATTTCCTGTCTGTTGATGCTAGTCTTTTTTTTTTTTTTTTGCTTGAAAACCTGTAATTAGCAATGAGGCAGTTGCTTTGTGTGAGAATCTCTTTTTAAAACCCAGAACGTTCTTTTTAAACCCCAGTGCTGGGACCTCCCCGGTGGCGCAGCGGTTGAGCGTTGGGTTGCGAAGCTGCCCGAGGCCTCTGTGACGCCGGTTCGATCCCCGGCTGCTCCCCGGCCACCGGAGGAGGGTCCCACATGGCGCGCAGACCTCTCCTGCCGCCCGCTGCTCCCCTCAGCAGTGTCCTTCGGTCCTTCTGCCTGCTCTGCTCCCCGCTCTGGCTCTGGTGAATTCTCTCACCCTCCCGTGCTTCTGACTGTACCCAGTGCATGTATAAACAAAACAAACAAACAACCAAAACAAATAAATAAATAAAACATGCCTCTATTAAAAAAAAAAAAAAAAAAAAAGAAAATCTTAAAAAAAAAAAATAAAAAAAAAAAAATAAACCCCAGTGCTCCCAATTGTCATGGTTTTCAGGCTTTTATCTGGAGTTAGATCCCAACATATTCATGGGGACAAAGGGCAACATCTGGTTCAGGAGACAAAGGCTTATACTCCAAAAGAATGACAATCTTTTGCTAAATTTATATTAGAAGAAACCTGATTAATTTCTATGGCAATGGAGTCTAAAGGTATTTGAACAAGAAGAACACATGTAGGGGCAGAGTTAAAACGTGATAACTGATATAATATACTTTCCAGAGATTTTTGGACTTAATGCTGTTTAGATTGTTACAGCAATGACCCCTAGGAATTAACGTCACTTTGTCTATCATGTCTTCATGTATGTAATTTGCTTTGGCCAATGACACATTAGCAAATGTGATGCAAACAGAAACATGAAAAGCACTTGTACATTGGAGTTGTCTCTCTTCTGCCCTCCCACAGTCCCCCCCCCCAACTTTTTTTTTTTTTCTATTTGTGGACTAGTGTGTATGTTAAAGAAGCATAGACTAGTCTGCTGGAAACACAAGGCCCAATCAACAGTAAGCACCAATTGCAGGGGGATGTGAGTTAAGCTGACTGAGACCAGTCATCCACCAGCCATCCTGACTACAGATGCATGAGTGAGTTCAGCTGACACTATTTAAAGCAGAAATGGTTGCCCCAGCTGAGCCCAGCCCCCATATAGTACCCTGCAAAATCTTAAAAACATAAATGACAATCACAAGCCACTAAGTTTTGTTATATAGCAAAAGCAAACAGAAACAAATTTATTAGTTAGAGCAGCTGAGAGTCACTCACCTTGCTTATTAGTTCTTTGGCTGAAGCCTGCACTTCAGCCTTTATAGGCTGAATTTGGTGATGTTGACAGAATTTCTCTAGAACAGTATAAGGAAGACTCTAAAGGCTTAGGGAGACAGGAATAATGGAGTAATTTATCATGTGTAATCCTGTGTTCTTCCCTCACCCTATTGTGCCCTAAAGCATTTGAAAAATTAACCAGGTGGCAGTTTTCATAGGCCAAAGGTGTTCATGGGAAATCATGAGACAGATTTTCTGGTTTCAGTGGAGATGAGATGTCAGTGTGATAATCATAATTTTTTACTCATAGGACTCTTTGGTGGCCCTAAGGATTAAGTAGGTGATCTGTTTACCAAAGCATTACTCAGTCTACGTAATTGATAGCTGACTTTCATTCTAACAATTGAGAATCACAGTTTCTTCCCCATTTCCAAGACTTTACCAATTCACAGACCTGAAGTTACTTGTTGAAGAGGAAGATGAGATTCCTTAAGGAAGAACCCTGCAACTAGGCCACTTACTGTGGATTTTCTTCAAGCTATCCTGAAAGATATTTGAAGTCATTGACTAAGGTGTCTGTGCACTGGGAGAAATGGAAATACCCAGACTTTTCAAAGATTTCTAAATACTGCTCTGAATGACATTAATCTTTAGGAAACTGAAATGCCACTGTGGTCAACTGGTGAAAAGATGAACTTACAGTGGTCAGATGATAGAGATCAGACCCAATTCCATCTCAGATACCCATGTAGCCATTAAAAATGATAATTAGGAAGACTAGTTAGCAACATAGGTGT